TTTGATTGTCACAATCGGTTGCAGTCTGAGTATCACAGTCGCCGCATCTCGTTGCACGTGGGCATTTGCTCGAGACAACGCTATCCCTGGTGCTTACCTGTGGTCCAAAGTCGACGCAAACTTGGGAGTTCCCGTCAACGCCGTCATCCTAGTCACCATCGTCGAAATGCTGCTTGGTATCATCAATATCGGAAGCACTTCAGCGTTCACAGCTTTCGTGTCCGTTGGTGTGATGGCCCTGGAAATTAGCTACCTCATCCCCATCCTCATCAGCTTGATGCATGGACGTAAAGAGGTCAATGGAGCTCGCTATACCTGTGGACCAAAGATCGGCATTCTCGTCAACTGCATTGCTATTGCTTGGATCTTCTTTCAAACGGTCTTGTTCAGTATGCCCACTGCGCTGCCAGTCACGGCAGTCTCTATGAACTACGCTAGCGTGGTCTTCGTTGGTTTCGCCGTGCTATCTGCCATATGGTACCGGGTTCATGCACGGAAAGGTTCGTCAATCCTGACATCTAAGCTTTGCGTACATATACTGACATCCCCCACACCAGTTTACAAGGGGCCGCCTGCAACAGATGGAATCGCTGCGTGAGACATCAGGGTTGTTGGGGAGACGACGTAAGAAACAGATTAGAACTCCTATTAGACCGAGAAATCCCAGTTATCAAACGAAAAGTCCAACCCAAACATGTTTTGCGCGTCTCCGATACTGGATAGCCCACCTAGATAGGGAGAATCGCCCACGGGTGTTCTGAAACTACTCGCACCCAACCCGCCACTTTCCACGCGCTGGCGTCGAGCAGAGCCCTCTGTCTCCGCCACAAAGTGTTTCCGCCAAGTTGCGAGACAATCATGTACGACACTAACGCTCAGCCGATTCCTAACCTGCTTCAATTGAATATCCTCGACTGTCGTGCCACCGATTTTGGTAGGATCGGGCAAGGCGCAGAAGAACCCGATGACATCGCCTAAGCGGGCTGGCAGATCGTTGTTGACCACGCTCATCTTCCTCAGAGCTGCGATTGATGCTTCAACAAGCTTCATTCCCTCGGTTGCATCAACCAGTGAGCGGAAGTGGCCGTTCGATGCAATCCTGAGGACAATCATGGATGCACACACGAAGATCTGATAACAGAAAAAAGGGCAATAGTCGAAGAATTTGACTTGGCGCTCATCTAGCATCCGACTTGAGTCGATCAAAGAAGACGCTGTGACATAGAGGGCACAGATGCGCTCTTCATAGCCCTCAGATGAAGCATGGTCGAAAAGATAGAATGCGTGCAGATGAAGCCGCGCCGCCGTGGAATGCCACGTCTTTACTTCTATTCGATATATCAGCTGGGGTCCCTGAACTCGCAAATGAAACTGACCAGTCGCACTTGAGATGTTAAAGTTCTTGCCCTCAATTTCAGTGATCTCTTTGTTGAAAAGCCGATATAGAATGATTCGTTCTCGAGTAGCCGGCTGATGCCTGGCATCTCGTGATTGGTCCATCAGAGCCATGGTGACTCGACTTCGAAATGTCTCAATCATGAGGTTGTATTTGAACTTGGCATTGTCAACAGCGCTTTCTGTATCGTTGCGTATTCCATCGCCATGCGATATTCCTGAGCCGTACTGCTGCAAGGGGGTTTGCAAGCCGCACCCGATACTCGCACTGGCGAGCGAAACTTCAGCATGTCTATGCAGATCAAATGGACAATCTTAGCCGACTATTGCTTGGCCGGCACAGCACTTACCTTTGACAGACAATCATAGACGCTTCCCAAGTCCTTCTCCATTCAGCCAGCTCCGTATCAGTCAGTTCCAAGGGCGCTTTCGAGAAGTCCTGCGCGTCAACAGGACGGTTGAGTCCCATCTGTACGCCCATCTGAATCATCAAGCCCGTCATCATGAATGTTGGATCTGCTGTGCTACTGCTCGTTGGGAATGGCCAAGTGCACAGCAAAGCAATAGCCTGAACGACATGCACAGAATATGTTACAGTTCGCACAGTTCTCCAGAGCAAATCGGTGACGTTGCGAGCCAATTTCGACAGCAGTGTTGGCTGTGACTTGAGTCGTCTAGCAGCGATAGATATGATTACCCAGAAAAGGAGCCCGGAAAGTTCGTAGTATTCATGGGGCGTTCTTGAAGTATCTATCAATGGTAGAAAGGGGTGATAGTACGTCTTGAAACTGTTTCCGTTATAGAATGAGTGTGATGTCATTGTGGAAAAGGGTCACGACTGCATGAAGCTTCACTACTCACATCTGAAATAGGTCCTCAATCTCTTCCACGGAGAGCACAGCATTGCCTAATGCTCGTGGACGAGGCATATTAAAAGACCCTCGAGGTAATCGTCGTGGTGTCTGTTGGTCAATCTCAGGTCTGGTAGTTAGCCCTGGGGCCCGTGACTGCTCTGTGGTGCTTGTGTCTCCTCCAGGGGACTCAAGCGCATCGATGCGTCCTGAAAGTGGTGCGACTGGCAACACGGAGTTATCACGGTAAGCTATGATGGTGTTGTTAGGACTGAAATCAGGAAGCCGGCCGTTTACTTCTGTTGTCATCGTCCACTCTGCTACAGCTTCCTCGCCAGAGGACGCATGAGAGATAGCTAAAGACCGTGTCTGCGCATCGTTGAGTTGCCTTTTCAGTTCATGAATTTCATCTTCAAAATCAGCGGACCGCCTGATCCCCGTAGCAATATCAGCATCATGTTCCGCTTCGATGGTCGGGGGTGTTACAAGGGTTATCCTACCGTCTCTTTCTGGTTCTTCTGAACCCCTCTTCAATCTTGCATTCAAGATCTAGCCGCTGACAGCGACGGCATCTACTTTGCATCTGATCGCGTGATTCGTGAGACACATATTCACAACGAAGCTAGGCATGTATTCAAGTTAGCCCAGCCAACAAGCCGCCCATAAGATCCAATAAACACTGACTTTCTGCTGCTTGCATTGATTACAAGCCTTCCTTCGTGATGCGATATCGCCACGTGTCTTCTCTGACGCATTTACGGAAGTAGCACCAGACTGAGATCGTGTCGTCCTGGAAGATGAACAATCATCCCCTTGGGATGTGGTGGTCCTTGCGCTATCCATTCAATGTTCCGAGATGAGAATCTTGGATAATGTTCTCAAGGCCGATGCGGAAGCTGGCCGATATGGCGATGAGGGCGACAGATTGAGGAGAAAAGGAAGGGGAGCCAGGTTGGTGCCGATCGGAACTCCGATCGGAGCTGGGTGCAGATGTCTAGCGTAAAATGACCAACATGGCGCGGGGTACCTTTGTGGGCAAACCCGTCATCGACGTCATCTCGGAAACAGACTGTCTTTATTTTGGTTCGAATGATGATAGAAGTTTCTATTCTACATAGTATTCTTCCTCGAGCCGGTAGAGATGAATGGTCTGTGGATGAAGCAGGCATGCGCTGGCGCCTCGCGTCGAAGGACCGACCAGACTACACCTTATTGTAAAAACTTCCACCCGCTGCCGTATCGACAGCCATAGCTTCCTCCAATCCGACGATGGTAAATAGTTTCTTCGGGGTGAACTCCTTCTCCAGCCCTGTCTTTCCGGTTTTCTTGATTTTCACAAAGACATCTTTGATCGCCTGGTATGCCGGAGCGATGGACGCGAATGGGTAGATGATGACTTTGAAGCCGAGCTCCTGGGCTTCAGCCGGGGTCCATGACGGTGTGGCACCGTGTTCCACCATATTGAGTAGCATAGGCGTAGGCGCCATCTGCTTACAGACCTGTCTTGCCTCCTCAGCTGTTGTAACTCCCTCCAGAAATCCAACATCGGCGCCCGCTGAAGCGGCAACCTTCAGCCTATGTACAGCCTCATCGAAGCCATGGGTTTGGAGTGCGTCGGTCCTTGCAATGATGACGATGTCTGAGCCTAGGCGCTTCTTCTCGTATGCAGCAGCTGCGATACGTTGTCGGAACGTTTCAATGTCAACTACCGCCTTGCCGCCTAGATGCCCACAGCGCTTGGTTTGGACTTGGTCTTCGATGTGAAGGCCAGCGATGCCTGAGCGATGGTATTGTGCGATGGTACGCGCGACCATATTTGGGCCGCCGTACCCTGTGTCGGCATCCGCTATCAGGGGCACTGACGGGTTGAGGTTCGCAATCATTTCTGCGTGTTCGCGCATGTCGTTGAGAGATGCGAAGCCGAGGTCAGGCTGCCCGAGTTTAGAGGCGCATGTCCCAGCTCCCGTCTGGATACAGTTCGTCAGCAATCTGGGTTCAAATAAGGGCTGGTCTGAATAGAATGCTTAAGTACCATGTAGATGCAGTCGAAGCCAACTTCGTGGGCGATGCGGGCGCTGTAGCCCTCATACACGCCCGGAGCAACGAGAATTTCATCACGCTCTAGAAGTTGTCTCAACCTGGCACCGGCAGATGCACCAGATGTGGCTTTTTGATCAACGGGAGCGGAGCCCATGGTGATTAGGATAGGCAGGTTTTCCGGATTGGTAATGAAGAAAATGAAGCTCAATGCGGTAGGCAGGCTCTGGCAGTCTGGATGAGCGGAATGAAAGTTGATGACAGTCAAATGACCCTGTTCCTTTGTAGAGCATATTTAAACTGCACCTTGAGCCACTGAGCCTTCCAGTACTTGTTGTATTCTGAGAGTTACGTAGACTAAGTCCGGACCGGTCTCATTCATCGCCGATCGGACTTGCAGCGTACATGTCGTCTCCGATCGGCCTCCCCGCATCGGAACTGAGCGCCGATAGGAGGACACATTCTAAGTCATCGTTTTCTCGGAAGTCTCCAGATTCTCCCCATGGGGAAGAGTTTGCATATCTGGGGTACTTGCAGATACTTGGCCGCATGATACGCGGTGCCGGGAGTCATCTTCCAGCTGACCGTGTTCGTAAGAGTGTAGTTAGCTGGTGCATAAAAGGTCATCAATGCGGACTCTAATTTCTTCAAGCTATTCCGTGTTCTTTCGGGTTGAAAAATGCCATTTGTTTTGACGCTTTGATCACAGCTTCGACAATGACTACAACAGTAAAAAATAACATCACGGAACCATCTACTGCTCATATCGAGGGAGGCAAGTCTTTCGAACTCAAGGCATCTTCAACGCACCAAGACCAGAAGAGCAAGCACCGACATAGTTCCCTCGGTCATCATGAGAGCCATGAATGGAAAGCAGCCGAACGCCGTGTCGTGCGCAAACTGGACATGACCTTATTACCCGTAGTCTGGGTTCTTTACATGTTCAACTACCTCGACAGAAACAACATCGCGTGAGTCATATCCACGCATCCATTTGATTGCTACAAATGGCTCTAATGAAAGCAGCCAAGCCCGTCTTGACAACTTCGAAGAAGATCTTGGCTTGCATGGTACCCAATTCAACGTCGCCGTATCCATCCTCAACGTTGGGTACATGCTTGCCCAACTTCCTTCCAATATGATCCTCACGCGCGTTCGTCCGAGCCTATACCTACCATCTTGCGTAATTGTTTGGTCTGCTATATCGGCAGCTACGGCCGGTGTCCGAAACTATTCCGGCTTGATTGCTGTGCGGTTCTTCCTCGGCATCGTGGAGGCCCCTTTCTTCCCGGGGGTATGTAAAGCTTCGACTGAATCAAAGTTACTTCTGCTAACATGATCATCGCAAAGGCATTCTTCATGCTATCGGCGTGGTACACTAGCAAAGAACTTGCTCTCAGAACTGCAGTGCTTTACTCAGGTCTAGTTCTAGCTACGGCGTTCTCCGGACTTATTGCCGCAGGCATCTTTTCTGGTCTATCTGACGAGGCGGGTCTGCATGGATGGCAGTGGCTGTTCATCATTGAGGGCGCCGAAAGTGCACTTGCCGCTATATGTGCTTTCGCTCTTTTACCCGATTTCCCAGATTCACAGACGGGGAGTGGGAAATGGCTTTTCAGTGCTGATGAACTCGAGCTTGCACAGCAACGTATCGCTCTAGATCGGGTTTCCGTGCCTGAAGCTGACCGTTCCATATGGCATGGGTTGCTTCTTGCTGTGAAAGACATCCGCACGTGGATATTTGTAAGTGTCGTTGAGGGTCTCCGACATGTTCTTTGCTGAATACATCCAGGTAATAATCCTGTGCGCAAACCATACCGCGTACGGCTTCAACAACTTCTTCCCAACGTGAGTACTCCCTACCATCGAGTTCTAAGAGACCGATGGCTGATACTAGTCAACTACAGTATCGTGAGCTCTATGCACCTCGGCACTCGCACCATCACGTTGATTCTGACGGCCCCTCCATACTTGTTTGGGGCCGCCATCTCCTTCATCGTAGCTCGCTCAAGCGACCACTTCAATGAGCGCGGCTACCACATCAGCGTACCGATGGCTGTGGCCATCGTGGGGTTCATTATCTCGACGGCAACCCTCAATGTCCCTGCCAGATATTTCGCCTCGTTTCTTTACTGCTCGGGTGCCTTTGCTGCGAATGCTGCAGTTTACTCCTGGGCCGCATCTTCTCTGAATCAAACACCCGAAAAGAGAGCATGCGCCACTGCCATCATCAATCTTCTTTCCCAGCTAGGGAACATATGGAGCCCTTATTTCTTCCCATCGTCGGATGGACCCCGGTATATCATGGCAATGCTTCTCATGATGGCATTTTCGGCGTTGAGTGTTGTCTCGTCGTTGCTGATGAAGTACCTATTGAAGAAGGCGAACAGGAAGATACTAGCTGAAGCGGGGCGGACAGGGCAGCAACCCAAACTTTATACCGAGTAGATAGGACCGTTGAACACCGTTATGCGCCAATTCGTGAACAGAAAGAAAGGGAATCTCTATTTTCTATGCATTTACCAACTCAAGTGAAACATCCACATCTTGGGCAGCCTCTATGCTCTTGCCCAGGACGTTCTTCTCATGATCCAACAGCTCTCTCACGTTTGTGCCGACCATGCAGCTCATATCCTTCTTCTTCGCACCCTTGACCCATTGCTGGTCAATCATCCAGTGCGTCGGAAGCTCGAACTCCGTCGCGTTGCCCATCTTGTTCTTCAGCAAACCACCGTTGTACCAGAGCAGATTATCCACCTCATCCACGTGTGCAATCACGAAGCTGCACACCTGCGTCATGTCCGTCTGCACTCCGCGGATGGGAAATCTCCAGCCAACCATGCCGCCGTAATGCCTTGAGAAGGAGTACTTCGATCCCGTCACTTCCAGACCGATCCAGTATGTTTCCTTGTCGCCGTAGGTAATCCGATACGTCCATGAGTTGCGCACCGCATAGGTATTCTGCCAGCCGATATGGAGCAGACCCATGAGAACGTCAAGTCGTCCCTTATTGAGCACAACAATGCCAGAATCTCCCTCCTCGGCGTATCTCTCCGTCCATACACGCGATTTCGACAGTTCTTCGCTCGGGCGCTTGATCATCTCGTGGTACCAATCGTGTCGTTCGGGGAACTGGCCCTTCCAAAGGAGTCGGTCGTGAAAGAGCAGCGCGCCTTTCTCGCGATAGCTTCGCTGCTGCAACAGCTGTTCGGGGGCCTGCATGAAGACCACATCGGCGTCCAGGAGAATCACCTCCTCGAAGCGACTGCCGAGCGCGGCAAATGGCTTGATCGCCCATCCTCCCTCCGCCAATCTCAGAGTGGTGTCATTGAACACGGTCGTAATGTCTAGGAACTCGATGTGGCCATCATCGCCCGTGGCAGCGGCCTGCACAAGTGTATCACGGTCCTCCTCGCTCAAGTCTTCGTCGCCAGCGTACACAATCTGGATCGGTAGCGTGGTTCGGTGCACGCGCGTCAGCGACGCCACCAGATGGCACGCGAATCGAAGCGTCCCAGATCCGGTGGGGATGACAATTCCCGCATTTTTCGGCTTATAGATGCCGTCGTCCGGCTGCCTCCTGGAGATAGCGTCGGCCGCCTTTGCCGGCGCGCCGGCGACTGCATCGACGCTCTCCTCGACGACTGGGACGACTGGGAGCTGCTGCTGCTGGGGCTGACGAACAGGGGGTTCCGCACTCCCAAAGCTTCGCCGAAGATCCGCGAGGGGTGACCGGCTGTGAGGGTCTCTTGGCGGAGATTGCAGGAAAGGGTACAGGGATGCCGCGACTCGTTCGATTTGCTCGGCTAAGAAGTCTCTCTCAGCCCCCACAAGCCGCTGTCCCTTAGGCGTCCTCTCCTCCAATGCCTCAATCCATGAGCGCAAGATCTTTGTCCTCTCGCCGAGTTCGCCAAAGATCTTCTTGTATGGGGGTCCGAGAGGGTAGTCGACAAAGTATTGCGCCGTCTTGTTGATCGCATCGAGGTTGAGCCCTGATGTTGTCGACGTTCGGAAGCTGAACTCTGCTGAGCTGAATGGTGTAATATGACCGTTAAATCGCAGCAAGTAGACAACGGTAAGCGTGATGAATGCCGCCGCCGCGAGGACGGGTGTCGACTGAGCGCCGTATCGCGATGAGAAAAGTAGTCGAACCATCCTCCACCATATGTTTGGAACAAGTCGTCGAAGTCGTTTCCCTCGCGGCAAGCTGCGCGCAAGACACCAGACAGGAAACCAGTCTACGCGGCCGTTGGAAAGCTGGGCACGCCGTCTTTAAAGAGGCCAAGACCTGCAATGATAGCTTCCATTTTTGGAGATTGAGGGTTTTTTTAGTGAAAGCTTAACCATGCCGGGTTTCCTTCCGCTGCGGCAAGAATTAATCTATCTGACTGGCAGCTCCTCCGTGGTGCGGCTCGCAAGTCCCGAAGCGCTCTGCAGACCTGCCAAACACCATAACAGGCCATCCTGTTTGACGTTAGATAGGCCGCGCCAGCAGGCTCAGCCGTGGCGTCGTCTCATTGCGAAGCTCTTGCGTCTAGGATCCCCTTTCGACTCCGAGCTGCCGGGACAAACACGCGTCTTGGATATAGCGTGGCCCCACGTCCACTAAGATCCAGGCCAATGCCTCCCCCGCATTCCGAAAATCGTGCCCCTTTTTTCGTAAATGGCAAGATCTCTTCTTCTCTTTTAAGGATGAATGAAGCTATTTTGAATCGTGGCAAGATGGGTTGTTTAGTGAGAGCTGAGGTTCCCTTGGTGTTGAGGATTTGCACTTGACACATTATGATCATCAATCAACGTTGTCATGGTTGCACCAGATTAATGACCGCCTCTAACGCTTGGCGGGCCTCTGACGCTTCGCCCAAAGTACTTCAATCAATCGCGAAATCTCACGTACATAAGAAAGCGCCCAAATTCGGGACGAAGATTCAGCGAGATGCCAGCCGATGTTTAGTGGAGACACGGGGAGCACCAAGGGTCTGCCATCTGGTGACAACACCCCGGGCAGACCCCTTTCTCATCGGCGGCGCTGTTTTTGGACTCGTCCAGCCAATGGAGTTGCGGGGGTTGGTTCTTAGGGCTTCGCGAATGCTTGACTGCAACACTGGAGTCTGGAATCTGGAGTCCCCGATGGAAAGTGCCAAGTCTCACGTCTGACAGTGATCACTTTCTGTAAGATCGACAGTTGGATTGTCATTTGCGAACACGGGATGGATCATTTCGCTCGCTGTCACTGGGTGCGTCGCCAAGCTCCTTTTGTCGTAGCTGGTCTGCAGTCGAACAAGCTTGAAGCTTTTAGGGGTTCGCCGGTCGGCTTTGCTTCTAAAAAGGGGTTAAGTTAGTGCTGGGTGCCTGGATGTTTGAAACGGCTGACCGCTGTCAGTGTCAATGACTCAAACCATTAGGGCGCAGGACCACTAACGGATGGGCGCATTGTCAGGCATCGTTGCTGGAAGTCAGGGTGATTATTTCATTGCTGTTGTTGGTGGCCTTTCCATGGAGGATCGGCGGAATTAAGTCCTTGGAATTAGGTGGATATCAAACGGTGGCAACAGCATATCGCAAACCGCGGGTTCCGATATGCTCTTTTCAGGTAGCCCGAAAGCCTTCTTGAATCGAAGGAAAACTCTGTATTGAGACCACAGTGGTCTTTGAAGAACGTGTGTTCGCGCCTGAGTTGCTTGAGTTGTGGCACACTGGCTCAACCCAGACATCATACTCAACGAGTTCACCTACTATATTCATATGAGACAGCTATGGGTATCTCGCCAGTCGACGTAACGCACACTATGTGAGTACGTCTTGACTCTCTGTGGCAATAGGAAACCCACTCATGGATTGGCCAGCTCAAATTTCTCTCGTGAACTAGTTATCTTTCAAACTCCATAATAATCCCAGAATCAACGTCCAGGCCGCACTTCAATGTCAATTTTAAGCTAGCCATAACGAACGGCCTTTTGGTCTTGGTTGGCTCTAGCTTCAGGAGGCTGACTGGGGCCTTTCAATATGTTCTTGGGTGTTCATTCGGCTCCTAAGTCGTTTCAAACGATGCCCGCGGCCTTTTGTTCTCCCCGTCGACCATCAATGTATCGGACCCTCTGTTGCAATTGTAACGATCTGAAGGATATGCTACGCTATGCTGCCCTTGAAGACTTTGAGATAGAGGGTATTTCTGACTTCTTTGCTCACTTTTCTTAGCGTTTTTCTTGTACCTGGCGACCTTGTGTTTCCACCTAGGGTCACCATGTTTTCCGTTGTCATCAGTGCTGCTTTGGCTCTGTTCAGAGGCGTTCGGCGACCGAGATCGCCCTCGCTTTCTGGGTGTGATGGCGTCCTCCAACATCGTAATAATCTCATTCATTGCCTGAGCTTTGTCATCTCTTATATCTTCGGCAAAGTCCTTTGCGTACTTCAAAAAGCCGTCTTTTTGGTCGTTGGTGAATTTCCTACATCCTTCCCTGAGCAAAAGCCGAACCACTTCGCTGAAGGCCTTCGCTATCGCTATGTTCATAGCTCTGTCGAGGCGTATGTCTTGTCGTTCTTCCGGGAGGCGTTTCCCTAGAAGAACACGGGTGGTGGCAAGATCTTCATTATACAGGTGCGTGAAGTGGCTTGATTAATCTAGCTACGAGCGCCGGGCGCGCCTGGCTACAAAGTGGTGTGGCCGATCCCTTACGTAAAGACGGGATTCGGGCCGGGGTTCGGGCCTCGGGCCCGGGCCCGGCCGACTACCGTCTCGCAACAGGCAATGCTCCAGGACAGTTCGACCGCCCACTTCTCTGGCTCCAAGGTCCGCACCTTTATTCATGAGCAACTGAACCATGTGGTCGTGTCCATTGACAGCTGCCCATATGAGAGGGGTCCTTCCATCGCTCGTGGTTGACTCAATGTGAGCTTTCCTGTCCAGCAAAAGCTGCGCCGTCTGTTCAAAGCCTTCATAAGCAGCTGCTGCTAATGGAGACAAGCCCCATTGATCCTTGGCGTCCACATTGGCGTCGTGATCCAAAAGGAGCCTGACCACGTGGTGGTGGTTCTTTCTGGCTGCTAAGTGCAATGGCGTGATGCCGTCATCATCTCTTGCGTTCGCATTCGCGCCATGATCAAGTAGCAGACGACTAATTCGCACATGACCCTCATAAGCTGCTACGGCCAGGGGAGTGCTGCCATTGCGGCCAGTAGCCTCAATGTTGGCTTTGCGATCGATCAATAATTGCAATACACCGTCATGACCTTTGCTAGCTGCCATAGTCAATGGGGTTTCTCCATTTCCATCTTCGGCTTCGAGATCGGCGTTTGCGTCCAGCAATAAGCGCATGATCTCAACCCGACCGTAGCGAGCAGCTAGAGTAAGGGCATGTTGGTCTGAGTCCATGTTGCTAATGCTGGCCTTTTCATTCAGTAGCAATCCGACTACCTCAACATGCTCGCTTACCACAGCCAAGGCAAGAGGGCTTCGACCATCAGAACCTTCTAGGTCGATATCTAGGCCAATGTCTTCCCTGCGCTGTAGCAGCAACAGACACACTGATATTAAACCCTCCGATGCTGCTCTCCCGAGAGGAGTCAGTCCGTCACCATCTTGAGAGTTGACGTTGAATCCTCTTTCAAGCAACCAGATGAGGGCTTCGATGTTGCTTGACTTGATGGCGGTCGACAACGCTGCGGCACTCGTGCTGGATTTGGTGGCGTCATCCAGTTGCCCAGAAAGATATTCCATCGCTCCTAGATGGCCTATGGCAATAGCCCGCATGAACAGCCTGATCCTCTCATCGAAAATTGACTCTATATCTGCATCTTGAGCTGGCAAAGTGCGGGAAAGGCTTTGGGCGACTGAATTGTGCCATTGCATCAACCTCTGTACTCCCACACCCATTGGTAAGCGTTCGCTGAGTGAGGATATTGACTGGAGTATCCCATTTTCTTTCTCTTGAAGTCTTTCGTCTTGGTTGGTGAGGGATTTAAGGAATCTTTCTGATTCAGCCATTTCCAATGGCAAGCGCTCTAGCTCTTTCTTCATTGATGAAAGTCGAATTTCCTTGTACTTAACGCCCGCCTGTTTTTCCAGAACTGAATGTGCTGCTCTGTTGACTTTTGGCCCTAATTGAATACCCTCCTCAAATAGAAATTGAAGCCGACGATCACACGCGACCAATTCAATCTCGCTGGTAATGTCCAGATAGTCGATTTGTCGTCTCTCCAACTCAGCAAACGATATTTCGTAGACGACATAGCCGCCTTGACGTTTGGTTGTTTGCTTAACTGTCAAATTGCACCAGCCATTGCTAGCTCTTTCTCTTCCAGTAAACCGCGAGAGGGAAGGAAGAGCGGGGATTTCACGCGCAAGAGTGTCCAGTTCCATGGACCTGGAGGCCACCATGAGATGGCATGTTAGCTGCGGCTGCGACGAGCTGATTTCCAATTCCAACATGACGACAAAGTCTGGACTTTGCTCCTCATGGTGCCGGAGTCTGATCCATGAAAGTTGTTTAGTGTCGCGTAGGAAGTCAACGCCAGTGATGCCAGATTTCTTACTCGTGTCCCATCGGTCTTTCGGGTAAACATCGAACACGGTCAATCTGCTGGAGGCCGGTACTTCAATGATGTATCCGTACCTATGATCAAACCTTTTGATGTCTTCGGGGAGTGAGAGGTCCCGAATTCGCAAGTCGGACGGCTCGTGTGAAGAATCTGTGTCAAATAGCTGTATGGCTTTGCTTCCCTTCGGCCTCATGAACTCGTCCGTTTCCAATCCAGGCTCAACTTGACAGAGAGGAATTCCTATGCAACCTTTTTCTTGGGGCCTTGAATAGCATTTGAGCAAGCCAAAGGTGCTTCCCGCCTTGGTTGTGTGGAGTGGAAGTTGTAAGTAATAGTAGCCCCCGTTCACGTCTAGGCGTTGTCCGCTGGGACCGCTCTCCCAAGGTACCACGGTTCCACAATTAACAAAGTTCCGAGGGCTAGCGGCCAGAAGGTGTCCGTATCGGATTGACGGCCGTTGAGAAGAATGACCGTCTTGCTGCAAATCAAGCCCCCAGGCTAGAATTGAGGCGTCTGGTGTTCTTTGGAGGATGGCTTCCTGTAGCCGGCTGAATGCAGCCGAAGCCCCTTCTCCATACATGATCGGAAGACTGACGTTGAAAATACCGAAAAGACAGTAAGCCATGTCTTCTCCTCTCGTTGTCACTCTACGGGCAGCCCAAGACATGCGCTGGGCAACGCTTGCATCCCGAAAACTGTCCAGAAATGGTGCGGGAATGCCAGTGGCCTCCTCGATTATGCTAGTCATAGAGACTTTCTCTCCTAGCTTGGTCCAGTTTTGACTGTAGAAGACTAGGTCTTGGGGGGCCAAGAGCTCCTGCAAAGTCCATCCTCTGGTATGCCATCGGCTTCGTCGGAAGTCGTTGTCAAACGTCGAAGTTGCCTGGTCGGGCACATCGGCAAGATAAGCATAGCAACGGCCAGCATTATGATACCAAGAAAACATTGAAGTGATTGCCTCTGAGTAGTCTGTGTGGTGGGATTTGTCGATGCAGCAGGTATCAATCCAAACGTAGTCGAAGCCATCAGCTTTCGCCTGCTGGCAACATCCATCGAATTTTATCCTGCCAGGTCCGGTCTTGGATAGCTGGTGGTCCTTCTGAATATCGCTGAAATGTATCTCATCTTTCTCTTCTCCCCATGTGTGAGAAAGAATAGCGTAGCGCGGAAAGTCATTCTGAAACTTTTCCAGCTTGCCGTTGTGAATGTTGACAAGCCAGATCATGGTCGATATCTTGTGCTGTCTGTCGTGCGAAAGATTCAGCACTGGTTGATGTAGACTAAAGCTCTGTACAAGACGAGATGCAAAAGTGAAGGCAAGTTCACAGGTCAACCTCCCCGTCTTTTCCCTTGGGCTGGTATGGGATGGCTCAGAGTGCAATGTAAAGGGGAAGTCCAGTGAGGCTGTGAAGGATCTTTTAAATGACATTAGATTCTGGGCCAGGCATGTACACAATGAGGCGACATTTTGCACCAGTAGTAGTCGCGCAGATCCAATCAGATCACCTTGTGAGTGTTAGCGGGTGTGTTGTCATCGCTGACATGCATTATTGCGTCGGAGACGAGCCAATAGACCAGTAAGGAGCTGAAACTTGGCATTTGTGGCTGCAGTAAGGACTCAAAATGTAAGAATGAATGATTGGATCGCGTCAGGCTCTCAGGACAACCGAACCCGACAGCTTCAATCTGCGATTACGCCTTCGTCGTGCCTACCTACATTTGCAGTCACACAAGCCTCATGGACTTCCCCGAGCTGAACACTTAGCGGTCATCATTCAATGGAACAACTTGCTTGTCTTCGTTTCGTTATCCACATTCATCTAGGACATCAATGTAAAAGTTAAAGCCTTGTTACAATGCCATGGCAGCTACTGTGAGGTGCATTTGGGTCATCCTCAACTCGGGTGAAAGGCCAACAGCGAAGGAGGATCTCAAAACCATTCGAGAGAAAAAGGAACAAAAGCAAATGTTGTAATGCGCTATTGAGCAGCATGATTGACTAGTCAAGTCGGGCTGTCGTTTGAGTCATGATAGCGCACAATGGAATTGACGGCCCACGAGTACACGGGGCTTTCTCGAACTCTAATTCAAGCTTGTTTGGAATAGAGTAAAGTTTCGACTAGTTCCGTCAGCCTCTGGGAACGTTGGAATGGCTTCGGATACTGCATCGTCTGTTGAACTTATTGATGCAAAGATCTTTCGTCAAATGAAGCCATAAGCTCAGTCGACGGAGCCCCTACAACTCGGAAGGAACTTGATCCTACCGAACTTGAAGAGTCTGTGCGCCGAAGAACTCCAACATGATGTCTGAGATGTCCTGCCATGATGAACATTACACATGATATTAGTTCCTTGAGGGAAACCAGGTCCAGAATTCGAAATTGCTATCGCGATGAACCTAATACTGACGATTTTCTGAATTTCGGAGAGCTCGGTCGATCCAAACTGGTGGAATGAGCTTCTCCCGCCGGGGAATTGTGGGTGCCTGTGAGATTTGGGGCTGCGTAGACGTCTTGGCACAGCACCACGTTACAGTGTTCGTTGATGAACGTGGTAGGGGTAACCCCTACGACCGCTTATGGCCGATAACAAAAACAGCTAGAGCTATGCTCCTGTACATCTGCTCACAGGCCTTTCGACTCAAGCCACTGCCACTCACGATGGAGTCACTCGGTTCGGTAAAGTATGTTAAAGAGAACCAAGAAATCCGGCCCTCCCAGCGAACGCCGCCAAGACTGCTTCATTTTGGCACGGTCAGTATCTGTAAGCGGCGCCAGTCGGATCCGACGGTTGATTCCGCATCAAGACGGAAAAGATGATTGTATAAAGGCGACCCCGAGTCTGCCTCACGATGTCGGCTTCGGATGGAATCATTATTGTTTCGTAACTGCGAATTTCTGTTTGTTAACCCAACTTATACACTCTTTCAAAACTGCCCATTATGTTGTTTCCATCAACACTTGTTTCATGCCTTCCCCTGGCCCTGGCGGCCAATATCTACGTCGCCCCTACCGGCAACCCGACCCCGGACGGCAGCTCGGCCAGGCCGTTCGGTGACATTCAAGCTGCCATCAACATCACCCAGCCCGGCGACGTTGTCATCCTTCGCGGCGGAACGTATGAGCTCCTCAAGAATATCAACATCACCGTGAACGGCACCGCGCAGGCCCCGATTACCCTGCGTGCGGCCACGGATGAGGTAGTCATCATCGACGGCGAGGGTCTCCCGAACACGCCCGCGCCCGTCGGTGCCAAGATTCCCGGCAAGGAGCGCGGCGTCCTTCACGTCGAGTTTGCTCAGTACTGGAACTTCCAACGTCTCACTTTCGCCCACGGGCCCTATGGCGTCTACGTCAAGGACAGCAGCAACCTGCGCTTCAACCAGATCGTGACTCGGGATAACTACGAGAGCGGCTTCCACATGCAGGGTGCCCTGTCCAACAATGTGATCTCCTATCTCGACTCTCACGGAAACCGCGATCCCAGGAACAACGGCGAGAACGCCGATGGTATCGCCATCAAGGAGGGCAAAGGAGAGGGCAACATCATTGTTGGCAGCAGGTTCTGGGACAACTCTGACGATGGAGTTGACTTCTGGTAAGTGTTTTGTAACAGACGTAGTGTCCAGGTTGCTGACCATTTGCAGGGAGTTCCACTCCAAGTTGACCATCAAGGACAGCATCGCCTGGGGCAATGGCTACAACCGCTGGGTAAGTCGACCTCTCGACCCATCACTTCCTGTACTTGAGAGCTGACCAGTCGCCCAGGACCTCCCCGACTTCACCGGCAACGGCAACGGCTTCAAGCTCGGCGGCGGCAGCGCAGGCGACATCCTCCCCGCCGGGCGCGACGTCGTCAACTGTATCGCCTTCGGCAACAAGGCCAACGGCTTCACCGACAACTCCCAGACGGGCGAGTTCCTCTTCGAGGAGAACACCTCCGTCTGGAACGGCGCCGTCGGCTTCCGCAGCGTCAACGCGACGGGCGTTCTCGAGCGCAACATCGCCGCCGTCAACCGCCCGGGCTCCCCGACCAACGTCACCTACGGCGGCCAGGTCACCCTGCGCGGCGCGCAGATCTCCAGGGACAACTCGTGGGACAACTCGGCCCCTCTGCTCACCAACGCGAGCTTCAAGAGCATTGATATCGGCCTTGTCACGGGCGCGCGCAACAAAAACGGCAAGATCGCTGCCAGCGACTTCTTGTTGCCTGTTGATGGAGCGAAGCGGGGTGCCACCACCTCCTGGAAGTAGACCCCGCTGACTTGAGTGCTGGCATTTTCATTCTTCATGTACATATTTTCACCCCAAAAGAATAGCTCTCCAATGAGACACTAGATGTTATCATGGACCATTCTAGAACTCACATAAACTTGCATCCTGAAGATCTCGGCACGCTGCCAAAGCCGCCCTAAGCGCCGATCAAGGCTGCGGTGCGGGGCCGCAAAAGCAGGGAAGCCGGTGATCGGCGGCCTCAAACCCACGGCCCCGGAATCGGCCCTAGATTGACGAGTCGGAGAGGAAACGGACACACGTGCTGGAGAAAACAAGGCTCCATATCGTGCGATCCCGCCTTAGTAATGCTGTCGTGCAAGGGAACATGCCTGGTTAAAAATCTGTGAATAGTGACGGGGTGACGTAATGCGGGTGTCAATGTGGGTGCAGGTCCCTTGCCAAGCGAGTTCCAGGTCGTGATGTGATCATGCGCGTCAACCATGTTGCGGCTTATCATCTCATCTTATCTTCACCACCCACCTAGCTAACTCATCGCATGAGGCCAGATTATAGCGTGAACGGCTAGACACAGAAGCGGACTCATAGTTCAACTCATAATCTTATCATCCGATCAGCGCTAGTGAGCATCTTGAGCAGCACGATGAAGTCTATCGGCATCTTTCCGGGCTCGGGTGGTTTGGGCGGTAGTACCTACGAGTACCTGCGCAAGCTCCTGCCTAATGATCAAATCATCCTCATCAACCGATACCCAGAAAAGATCCCGCAAGAGCATCTCGAACACGGAGTCAGAGTGCGCAAGGCCTCGTACGAGTCAAGCCCCTCCGACCTAGAAGCCGCATTTGCAGGCATCGAGGTCCTCTTCCTCATCTCCTACCCAAGCCATGTGCACGACTACCGAAGAAAGGTAAGAACGCCCCTCAATGTGCAGGGACAAGACCATCTCACAGGAATTCCGTCAGGTGCAACTACCCGCCATAGACGCAGCGCGCCGTGTAGGCATCAAGCACATCTTCTACAGCTCCCTGGCCTTCGGCGGCGACTACCAGGACTCCTCAATAGCGGAGGTGATGCAAGCCCACCTCGACTCCGAGCGCCATCTCACAGAAGCCGCCGCCTCCGACCCCAGCTTCACCTTCACCTCCATCCGCGAGGGGCTCTACTCAGAATCGTACCCGATCTACACTGCCTTCTTCGACGTCAACGCGCCGGCGGACGAGATCCTCATACCGCACGACGGTTCCGGGCCTGGCGTCGCGTGGGTCAAGCGCAACGAGCTCGGGGAGGCGACGGCGCGGCTCATCGCGAACTACTCATGGGACCCGGACCAGTTTGCCTACGTCAACAAGAAGATTCTGCTTACCGGTTCGAGGGAGTGGTCGCTGGAGGAGACGGTGCAGGTTCTGGGCCAAGTTGCCGGCAAAGAGGTTCACATCCGCCAGGTGGATGTTGATGAGTATGTCAAGCTACCGCAGGTCGTCGCGCGCTTCGGGTCGCAGGAGAAGGCGAGGACGTGGGCGACTGCTTGGGATGCTATTCGGGCCGGAGAGACGGCTGTCGTGACCAGTCATATGAAGGACATTATCGGGCGGGAACCCGAAGCGTTTGATGTGACTATCGCACGGTTGAGACAGTCATGAAGTCATCCGAGTGGATGGCTTCTCGGCGCATTCGGTGCTTGGCCGATAGCCAGATGACATGCGCGGCAAACGAGGGGGGATGAGGATTAATGTAGCAACTACATTTGGGGGTTATAATGATCGAGAGTACAGCACGGCGGAGAGAAGATGGATAGTCGGCCGGAGTGAGAGGCAGCGAATGCGGATGGAAGTGGCACCGAAGCGTTGGAGGCTTCATCATGAAGCTTTAGTAGTTCATCCCTCAACAACGGGCGAATGGTTTAGTGGTATAATACTCGCTTAGCATGTGAGTGGTCCAGGGTTCGATTCCCTGTTCGTCCATTGTTTTTTGCCTCTTTGACCTTTGGGACTGC